TTCCTATATCTCAATGAGTTGTTTCCGGGATTAAAAATGAGATGACATATGTCCTGTGCCTGACAATTTAATAGATCCTTGAAAACTGCTAGCTTCTTTCTCTGTACAAAATGAATTTGTCTCATCACAAAGGAGCTCAAGTTACAAAACGATACACACCAACATCCAATGTTCTATTGTTTATCTATGACTTTGTCTAAATTGAAAAAGAATCTGCTGTGTTTGAGAATGGATTGAAGAAAATAGTTTGCTGTAATATAATCCAAGACAGGTTTATATGTGTGTCTCTCTCTCTTGAGGCGTGAGTCGGAAGTCTTAACACAAAGGAAGGTGACATGCACACATTGAGACATATCTTTTTAAGCCAACTGTCTTAAAGAGGTCATTCACATCTGACCAGGAGTGTGTCAGGCTGAGAGCTAGTTGCAGGTGGCACTCTAATGCAAGGCATCATTTATTCAGATTTCAGGAAAGTATATGACACAGTATATTAGACTGATAGGCAGACCAGAGAGGGGAAAATGGATCAAGAACAAGATTGGGGACAAGGCAGACAATTCCAAACCAGCCTTTTAATTGAACATCAAATTCTGACTGGCATAGCAGGTCCTGAAAGAAACTAAAACTTCCCCCTGCCTATCATAAAAAGCTTGTTTTCGTGACGGGTGCTGATGTTCATCTTTTCTTGTTTGTACGTTATAAACAAAACCAACAAAATGATTTTTTTTTTTTTTAATGCAAGTTAGGAAATAATGAGGAAAGGGATTGACGAATATAATTGCAGATGTGCTTTACATCATCTTACTCCAGGCTGCATCTGAAATAACACACGGAAGCATCGGGGACTCCAAACACTTGGAGAGAATTCCATGGAGACCCACATTTTCCTTCACACCCGCCCTGGTTGTGTTTTTGTTTTTTGGCTTAATACAGAGCAAACATACTGTGACTTCAAAAACATAATAACACAGAATGGAAGCTCCACATTGTTTAAAAGCAGTACTGGGATATAAATTCTTCTCTTAACAGCCTTTGCTTACAGCAAGATGATGGGAAACAGGGACAGCTGCAGGTACAATGGCAATGGGTCTTCTTTTAATACAGAATTACCCACGTGCCCTGAAAATCACCTGACCTCGGAATCTTTCTTCTATTGATGTAAATCTTGCACAAAGTGAGACAACTATAAATTAAAGCACATTAAATTACACATAGTCTGTAATTTCTATCTCCCCCATGATAGGAAAGCTCTTTTATTTCTTTTGTAAAGTCACGAGCAGCAACATCACCCCCCAGGGTACATTCAGTAATCTATTTATGGCTCTAAGGATATTTTGTCCCCACATCCCTCCCGCAGAAGGTGACAGCAGTTTTTAACTCACCATTTTATTAAAGATTCCTGATGCTACCTCTGCCTAAGACATTCGCAGCAAGTGAAAATGTTAGGTCTTGGCTAACATGAGCATTCTTTAGTTCTCAGGAAAGTCAGTCTAGAAATACTGGCAACAACCGCAGCCAGGACACCGTGAAGCTCTGTGTTTATTCTGTTTCTCTGGGACGGTGGCAGCTGTGAGTTTCAGATGCCATCTGCCGAAGGCAAATGCCTAGTTAACTGTGCTATTCTCGATTTCTTCACAGTCCACAGTTCTACCAACCTCTCCCTACTTTGCAATCCCCCTCACTGTTGGCTTCCTTATCCAACAGGCCTGAAACACAAGCACAACATACTGAGGCTACCATGGATCCCCTTGGCCCAGCAGCTGTTACGCCCTAAATGATATTCTCTTCTGGCACCTCCTTACCCTGTAGTCTTAATTTGAAGGCATCTGGACTCTTCATCCTACTGGTAGAAGGGACATAACTATATACCAGTGCTGTATATATTGTTGAAATAATGCTATGTATTTTCAGCATTTGCAAGGGAAATGGAACTAGGCACCTTGTATCTCATTAATTATGGTCTCTGCTAATTGGGAATCTGAGAGAATTCTCTGGGCTGACATTTATTTTTGCATTATCTGCTGAAAGAAGAGGTTTGCTAAGTAAATAAAGGGTAGAAAGAGTTTTTTAATAGTAATGTTTAAACTACCTAAGAGAAGATTTCTAAAGATTCTGAGGCTTTCATTTGTATACTAACAACAAATCATTTTCTACCTAGTCACTAAAGCCAGCTGTCTCCTTTCTGGCTTCCCCATTTCTGCACATCCACTATCATTTCCTAATTCAACGTGCTTATTAGCAAAGCTAACCAGTCTTCAACCAGCCAACTCATCCTCTGCCTGCTTCTCCCACCCCACTCCTCTTTTTCTCTCTAACTCAGGCCCTCGTTAATAAAGCTGCCCTAGAACTGGAGGATCCTGGCTGGGCTCCTGTCTTTTGCCCCCAATCCTCTCCAATGATTCAGTAATCTGCTGCTGGATTGGTCTTTCAAAAATTTCTTTTCATTTTTTCCTTTCACACTTCAATCTTATTATCCCAGATGAAATGTTCTATAAGAACCCATGACTCTTATACTCCAGAACTCTAAGATCCTCAACTGTAGCTTCAGTGTCCCTGTTCCTAGCACAGAATTTAGCAGATTACTAAAATAAATGTAGATTCACAATATTTATCTGAATCCCCTGGGGGCAGATATAATTTGGGATTCATACTTCTTTCTCATTTTAGGACCAGAACATGGTGCATAAAACACACTTTATGTAACATCCCAGTGGGCCTGGAACACTTCATAGTCAAGTGCACTGATAGTTCTGCAACAAAATATATAAATTTTACCCCTTGTTGCAATAAATAAGGACAGTAAATAGCCTCCTATTAGGTTTTGCTACAAAATATTTATACAAAAAAATGTTGTTTGGTAGGGTTTTTTGGATTTCAGAATTGTGATTAAGGGATTGAGGATGTATAGTAGGTATATTTATCCATGGCCACTTATCACTGTCTAGACTTGAAAGAAATAAGTTTTCTTTAAAAGTCTCCACATCGCTAACTTTGATTAATTCAGACTTCTTCTCCACAATTAGTTCAAATTATTGAGGCCATTCTTACAAAACTGTCTTCAGATTATGAGAACTTCATGACCACAAGGTTGACCCTATCATTTTAATTTTTTTTCTAATTTTAACCCATTCCCAAAGCATTTTCACCTTGCTTATTAAAACAAAAAAAAATCTTTTTTTTAGCTGCTTATTTTAACAAAATGTAAATGTAGTCGTTTTGCTTTTCTCTACCTAAAGAAAGGCTTTAGTGAAGTAGGGTGGATTGATTATCTTTCAGCAGGATGGATTTACATTTTAAAAATCTCAGTTATGCTGACCTTCTCCCCCAAATAAGAGTTAAGCTTTTAAAGTGTAAGTTCATCTAATGTCTAACATAAGTTTATCAACCAAATCACAGAAAACCCCCCTATGCACAGTTAAACATATACCGAAATCACTCTTTAGGTCAAGTTTTAACTTGACCGATAAACCCTGCTTTAAATACAGCCAAGTCAAACATTAAGCCAGCAGTGCAGGGTTTGTATATATATCATGGGATGCTGGCCGTATGGGTCACAGCATTTTGACAGGCAATTCCTAGGCAGTTATTTTGACATTAGAAAGTCACAATCCATCAACTTAACAGCAGGGCAATAATTTTGGGACCAGGGAGATGGCTATTCAAAATGACACTGTGGGAAGTAAACAGTAGTTCCAAGAGCCCCTGTTTGAGTATGAAGACATAAACTAGGCAAAATTTCTCTCCACCTCTAGAACCAGCCATTATGTAATATGTTTTTGTGTAAGCATGTTATTTCTGGTGTTTGAATAGAAAAGCCCTGCCTGCAAAGCTAAAAAGCATGCAGGTATCTGGATTCTTTGGCTGAAAGTGTGGAGATGAGAAGAAATGGAACTACCCTTATGAGACTCAAGAATGACAGTTTTCTTCCCCACCCCCATCCTCCACCCCCAGTTTGTCACAAACCATTTCCAATGACCTGTGATACCCGAGGCCAATATTTCAGATGTTACTGAATTCTTTCTGCATTGCAAATTAATCAGTTCTCCAGTGCCCTGGGAAACAGGGCTCCTTGAGTATGTGGAGGAGACTTAGGCTTTATTCTTGAAGAGGCTGCGGGGCCAACAACCCAGCTGTGAGTCCTGCCCTGCACACAGGCGGCCCTGGTCTCCTGGACAAATGAATGCGGATGGAGGCTACCGAGTGCTGCTGAGATCCTCTCCACAGCCGGGAGGCAAGGTAGCAACTGGCAGAAGTTTCCTGGCAGCTAGATGGGTGGGTATGGGTAAGGAGTATGAACTAGAGTGCAGCGATTCTCAGATGTTCTCATTTCACAATAACTCTGAGAACACACACGTAAGCCCTCCAGGATGGCCATGTTGTGGATAAGGAACAGCAAGCACATCCTTCCTTCTACCCGGGAAAGGAGAAATGAAGAAAGGAAGAATGGATAAAAAATGATGTGCTGATGGCTGAGATGGCAAAATGGAGCACTGGATGGATATATGTAGATACTACGGCCAAGAAGAGAGACAAAAATCTGGGTGGCAAGGTTTCCTCAATGAGCTGTCTTGTTTCCATGCAAACTGAGGTGGTCTTTGTGGGGGCCACACCCCCTGGGGTCATGACCTGCCCTACTGGGGACTAGCGCTCTCACCACTGCCCTCCCTTATATTCCTGGCTGCCAGCCTGAAATACAACGTGTGAAGCAAATTATTTTCAGGTTATACTTCACTATTTTAAAGAAAAAGAAATTCATTATGTGGGTGAAATATCAGCAGGTAAAGAACAATAAGCTCTTAAAGCAAAGATGAAGAGGCTTATTACTGTAAACATTTTAATAAACTTTTGTAGCTTAAATTGAGTTTCTTCTTCTTTTCTAAAACCTAGCCTTATATGAATAACTACATCCGTAAGCTGAAAGTATCTGAAAATTCACACGTTTCAGAAAAGTAATTCTTAAGCAATCAACAGCAGAAGCAAAGCCAACAATGTTTCCATACCTGGAGCTGATATTCTTCCGTGAAGCACAGATTCACTGGGCAGCAGTTCTTTTGAATTGGAGGTGAATGGTGATTGTCTAAATGTGTCTTCTGAAAAGAAAGGGCTGGGGTGGGGGAGGGGGAGTGAGGTTTAGTAAATTAAAGTTATTTAAGACACCCAGAGCACCTGGCCCCAAATACATACATACGTAATATTGGATAAGGTGTTGTTTGCAACGGTGTTTAGTGAATATAAGAAGATTGTGCTTAAAATGGAGAAAAAGAAAAGTCATTACATCAGATAAGTGCCAGCTGTACCTTCTGCCTATAGGTTTTATATTTGGGGGGAATATATGAAACATCATCTTTGAAACACTGTTAAACCTGTAGAGGAGGACAGCTGAGCAGTACATTTTCCTCTTGCTCTATTCTCTGTGTGTGTGCGTGTTGTGCCCTGCCTGGGTCAGAATCAGAACGGGCCTGTCTGTGGTTTTCCCGGTAGAGATGGAGTTGCCCTGGCTCACCCATATTTCGTCACCTGATCCCTCAGGGACCCACTGCACACATCAAGACAGATGGCTGGGGCCAGGGACCCATACACTGAAGGAAACATGTCACTGGTCCCCACAGAAATGACAACTGCAACTTGAAATTGTGTTGGTTCTGAAGGAGTTAAAGTCAGAAAATGGGGCTGCCAGAAGGGACCCCAAGGAGCTCCCTCATATAACATGAAAGAGAGGCCCTGACCTGAGTGATCCTAAGCTCCCCTAGTGACTCAGCTAGAACTAGAACTAGGGTCACCAGACATCCTGCCAGGGTTCCCCCTTAAACCATGACCACAGTGAACACAAAGGATCGAAAGTTTTTAATCAGAGGATTCTAACTCGGTCACAGGGTCCATCTTCCAGGCCTCTAAAATAACATGTGAACAAGTACCACGATCACATATGAGAATACTAGAGTATCCATCAGAGTCCAACCTAGAAAATGGAAAGCCCTATTTATTTACAACAGAGGAAATTCAACCATAGGAACTGGGTACCCAGATAGTGGAAGTTCCATGGGGTAGTAACACAGCCCAGAGATAAGAAGGGCAGGAAGCCATTGCCACCCTGAGGCTGGAGGGACCAAAGGAGGAGACAAATGGAGCCCAGGTCATGGTAGCTGGAGCACTAGAGGAGATGTAGCTACTCCGGGAGACAGAGAGGGAGTGGAAAAATACCCAGGTTCTACCTTAAGTCCCACCCCTACCTCTCACTAGTGCCTCTGATTGGCTGAACCTTCCCAGAAGGCGGAGAAACGCAGCCAGGAAGGATCACTACCCCCAACCACTCTCCTGGGCAAAACAGCAGATCTGGAGCAGAACAACAGACCAAGCCTAGGACTACTAGGACTAGTGCTGCTTTGCTAAACATGCCACAAGGCTATGGTTGCTATTATTCCATTTTAAAAAGAGAATGTTAAGATGAAAATGGAAGACACTTTTTTTTAAAGTAAAACATACATTGATAGATAATATAGTTTTACATGACTATGTTAGGCTAGATTTAGCACCACTTTGTATGCCATGGTTTTTCTTTGTATCTTAAACACAAAACAATTTAAATAGGCTTAAGAAGTGAACACTGGTTATAGGCTAGTAGGAGGCAGGAAGTGGGGAGAAGCAAAGGGACAGATATGTCGCTTTCTACCAAACATCTCATAACTTGCAAGGGTGGCTAAGGCAGTGGAGGAGGGGACACAGTGTGACCACGGGGCCTGGCCTGGCCAAGGAGCCCAGGAAGGGCCTTCCTGCAAAAGCCACCATGAGCGGAATGGACAGTAGGGTCCTTAGGGTTTGTTTCAAGGAGCTGGGGAAGGTGGCCCCAAGCACTAGGAGAGAGCACAGCCAGCCTGCAGAGCTGGAGGAAGGCCCATGGTGGAGGGAAATGAGGCTAGACCCTGTGTGCCGTGATCATGGCTTTGTCCCAGCAGTAGTGAGGGCACTGCAGTGTCTTAGGTAAGGGGATCAGGAAACCGAACTTCAGTTTCAGAAAGCTCCATGTGGCTGCAGCAGGCAGTGCGGCCTGGGGGACTTGCAGAAGACAAGGTGTGTGGCCAGTGCAGCAGCCCAGATGGGACATGGTGATGCTAGTGGCCAACATCGCCAGCCAGCAGCGACACTTGCAGGTCGAAGAAGAGTTTAAAAGAGAGGGCTGGTCAAGACCACAGGTACATTTAAGAATAACCTTCACTTAGCTTTCTAGGTGAAGCGAGCAGACGCTGCTGTGCTATGTGCTGGCAGTAGTCTCCTGGGTCTTGCTAAGTAGTGGCAATGGGCTAGCGCTGTGTCTTCACATGCTCTCTTCAAAAGTGCAGATTCCTGCTGATGTGAGGAGTGGAGCCCTATTATCACTGAGCTGCTCAGAAGAAACTGAATTGAAAGGGAGACAATCACTAAGGGAAACAACATTCAAAATAATTTTCTACCCTGGATGCCAGCTTTATCCTGCATAGAAAAGAAGAAATTTCTTCTGAGGGAGCAGAGAATTAGAAGGGAGTGCTGCTGGATACTAAAAATGCACAACAGGGCTGCCAATGTTTCTATGGGGCAAAGAATCAATGGAGAAACTTTCAGAAGGCAAGGCAGCTTAAGGCTGGTGTAAGTCTTAGCTACAGAGAGAAGACATTAGGTTAACAGGGAATTGGTCTCAGACTAAACATGCAGCCGCCATGCTCTGCATTCGGATCCGTTCATGCCAGGAGGTAGGGAGTGTGGTGGTTTTGCAGAAAGTTTGGAATCAGAAAAATTGGAGTCTGAATTTCATATTGGTTACTTCATAGTTAAGGGAACTTTGTCCAGTCAATAACTACTCTAGCCTCAGTTTCATCACTGAAAAAGAGGTTTAACAATGCCATCTTCTAGAGGGGTGCTGTAAGGGTTCAAATGAGACGTTTCATGTTAAAGTCCTCAGTACATAGTACATGCTCAATAAAAACTAGCAACAAACACTAAGTATCTGGCACTGATTGAAGGTGCTTTGTGTGTATTAACTTCACTTGGTCCTCATAAGAACCCTATGAGAGTAGCTACCATTATTATAGCAGTCCCCCCTTATCCATGGTTTGGCTTTCTGATTTCAGTTATCCACAGTACAGTACAATAAGATAGTTTGAGAGCGAGACCATATGCACATAACTCTTAATCCAGAATAACAATACTGTTATGCAGAATATTGTTCTAACTGTCCTATTTTATTATTAGTTACTGTTGTTAATCTCTTACTAAGCCTAAATTATAAATTAAACTTTACCATATGTATGCATAGGAAAAAGCATTGTGTATATAGGGTTCAGCACTATCTGAGGCTTCTGGCAACCACCGTGGGTCTTTTTTTCTTTTTTGAGACAGAGTCTTGCTCTTGTCGCCCAGGCGGGAGTGCAATAGCGCAATCTCGGCTCACTGCAACCTCCGCCTCCTGGGTTCAAGCAATTCTCCAGCCTCAGCCTCCCAAGTAGCTGGGATTACAGGCGTGTGCCACCATGCCTGCCTAATTTTTGTATTCTTAGTAGAGATGGGATTTTGCCATGTTGGCCAGGCTGGTCTCGAACTCCTGACCTCATGTGACCTGCCTGCCTGAGCCTCCCAAAGTGCTGGGATTACAGGCATGAGCCACCGTGCCTGGCCAACCACAGTGGGTCTTGAAATATATTCCCTGTGGATAAGGAAGGACTACTGCATTATTCCTATTTTACAGATGTGGAGACTTAGGCACAAAGAAGTTAGGTAGTTGCTTATGCCCATGAGTTGAGCACGTTGGCTTCCACATCTGCACTCTTTCCCGCTCAGCTACACTGCCTTTCGTTGGTCCATTAACACCTAAGGAATTTACGGACAATAGAGACCCATGAATCCTTGGAACAGATAGAGAAAAGGAAGAGAAAGAGAAAGGGGTGATGGAGGGGAGTAGGCACCAGTCATTTCAGTGTAAAGGCACTGAAGGAAGTGGAAAGACTTTTCTATTGATAAATAGAGCAAGTAAAAATAATTTTTGTCTTTATTTCCCTATAGAAGTTATGATACGCCCCAATTTTCTAAACCTTCTGTCACTCGTGGGCCTGGTCAATTTGCAACTCTAAACATTTGCCACTGCTGTACTTACAGCTTCCGAGAGCAAGCCTGTCTCTGTTATTAACTCTAAATGAAGAAGGAAGGGTAACGAGGTCGTTAGTTGTTTGTAAGCTTCTATTTCGCCAAAGCTGTAAAGCACATGGTGGCACTATGGCTACATACACATCTGTGTATTAATCCTTCTGGTGCCCAGATTAGCTTCATGCTTCAGGAAGGAGAAAAAACTAAACTTGGAGCATGCCCTATAAAGCAGAGCTTGCTTCATGGGATTAGGTCTCCAATAACACTGGTTATTCTTAACTCTCTGCACAAGGTACTAAGAAAACAGAAGATACTCCATGTGTAACTCTGTCCCATTCATTTTTAGAATGCTGGGTCGTATATACGTTCTTTTTCTTCTCCTGTGCCTCACAGTGACTGTAAAGTACAGAAGCACATCCGTTCTCAGGTGACACCCAGCTTTGCGGTGGACAAAGCACTTCAGTAAGGGGTGGTGAGGCTGACACCTCGTTCATGCTGCTCAGTGACTGTCACTGTTGGCAGTGGGCAGTGGAGAGGCAAGTTCCAGGAGGCACCGGACACAGGATGAAGCGGGCTGCATCTTCCCAGGGAGTAAAACAATCCATGAAATACACTGGACTTTACGATGTGCCCCGAAGCATGTTTATGCTGTCCTCCAAATGGTAACTTCAGCCAGTCACCCACTATTCCAGAAAAGGAGCCAGTTTGTGAACACCATATAGCCCCTGCTTCTGAATCTTCGCCTGCCTAGACTTTAGTCATTTTATTGTGAAAAAGCCCCTCCATTCAGAAAGTAAGCCAAGGAAGTGGAAAAAAGCAAAAAAAGAGATTTTTTTCTGGTTAATATTTTTGGTAAAAAGTTGATAGAGGAGGAGGTGGAAATTAACAGCTAATGGGGAGGGAATCATCACTTATTTTCACTCAACAAAATCATCATCTATCACAACATATTCCCTTTGGCCCGGGTCAAAGACTGGCTACCTGGAAGACTTA